TGTCTGTCTGTATCTCTTGCCTTGTTGCTCTGGGTCTGTCTGGACCTGCCTGTCGTCTCAGCCTTGCCTCAAAGCATGGCCTGAGCAAGACTGTCCCTGGCAGTACATGTCCATGTCTCTTCCATCTGTACCCAGGCCCCCGTTTGACTCTACTAGGCCATCTGAACCTCCCGAGTCAAACTGTAAAGGTTGTAGAAACACCTCATGTATACTCTCCCCACCAAGACCTGGAGAGTCAGAAGCAACACACCAGTCTGTCAGTTACTCTCATATACCCCTGAAAGAGGATTCATCAACCCAAATCCCAGCAAGTCTTTGGGCAGGTTTAACAGAGATTTAGAAACATGTACCACAGGGTGTTTCCTTGCATGTTTCTGTAACAGTAAAAGGTGGACAATTGCATGTATAGGGTCCAGCTGGGAGAGCTTTGCTTCTTCAGCCTAAAGGAGTATGACCTGGATGTGAGGGTACCAGCTCCACAGTAGATCCAGAGGGCTCCCTAAGGCCATCATTTAGCATGGGGCTAGACTGTCACATGAAGGAAAGGAAGGTGCAACAAGTTTTAACAGCAGCTTCTTTGAGAAGAGAAGGGCAAAGTGAAAGTGTGTGCGTATATGCATGCATGTACGTGTGTTTAGGATGAGACTGTGGAAGGGGAAATACAAGGCTAAGACAGATTGTTGCTTCCAGGGTAGAGCAGAAGAAGGAAGGAAGGAAGGAAGGAAGGAAGGAAGGAAGGAAGGAAGGAAGGAAGGAAGGAAGGACAGGCTTCAAATGCACCTGGATTTGTGTTGTGGTCTGTAGGACCAAGCATTTTCTGTAATTGAAAAGCAATTTTTAATTAATTTTTAGGTTAAAAACAAGTGAGAAGAAAATGAACCTGAGTGTGAAATCGGTGGGGAGCCACTGTTAAGAGAATTGTTTGTGGGGACTTTGAAAGTCTTTTGATTCGACTCTATCCCCATAGGAGCAAACACACACACACACACACACACACAGAGAGAGAGAGAGAGAGAGAGAGAGAGAGAGAGAGAGAGAGAGAGAACAGTGGCCTTTCAGAAGGCTTCAGTGGGGATCCTAACATTGCCATTTCAAAATTGCTACAGATACAAGGTAGAGAGCAAGTAAATTTAGATTATTAAAAGAGAAGTAAAGGAATGAATTTTAATGAATAAGAACTCAAACCAATAAACAGAATCCCTAAGTTTAGCTGCAAATATTCATGTTTTAGGTCTTTGCTTCTGAAAATAAAAGCATGTTGGCAGGAGGTGCCTGCCTGCAGTCTCAGCACTTGGAAAGTAGGGTCAGGAGGCCTGGGGGTCTAAGGCTAGCTTGGTTTACATGAGGCTGTGTCTCAAGAACACTAAGATAAAAGCACTGAGCTGGCGGATGATTCAGTGGGTAAGAGCTGGGGTTAGGAACTCCAGCACCCATGTAAAATGCTGGGGGCGTGGCCTTGGCACTGGGTTGGAGACAGGAGATCACCAAGTCTTGGTCCCCAGCCTAGCAAGTAAATAGTGAGCTCCAGGATCAGTGAGCAACCCAGTCTCCAGGGAATGAGGCATTCACGCAAATTAATTAATGAGTTCATTTGTAATAGAAGACCCCAAGCTCTGGTTGCTGTGAACATTGAGACAGTGAGTACCATCCTGGAAAACATCACCAAGGGCTCCTGAGGTCCCTGGGATGGTACATCAGTAGTCACAGAGAGGTCTCCAAACCCACAGTCCCACTTGGACAGTGTGAACACTGACTTCAGTTGGTGGAAGCCCATCCAACAATCAGCCGTGCTGCGGTGAGCCTCAGACACAGCCTTAGGGAGCTAGGCCCTCCAGGAGGTGATGGGTAAGGACTGGGCATAGATGCCCTTCCATCTTCAGATGAGCCTTAGCAATCGCCAGCTCAGCAAGCTTATTTAACTTTATGTGAAAGAACTCAAGAAAATAACGTGAGAGAAATGAACTTTGGGGAAATGACTGCTTTGCATTTGCTGTGATATTGCTGGAACAGTGGCAGTTGGGAGGAAAATCCTATGATGAAATAACCAGACCGAACCATTGTCAACGCAACATCACAAGAAGGGGAACCGACTTCAGTCATCTCTGGATGCGTCAGGAGGCCAGCTTAGAGCTCCAAGCAGCCGTGAAGAACCTGTAAACTGCCACACAAAGAAACATGCCAACTCTAATACACAGGAAGTCCTGTGAGGTGGACAGCTCCATTTCTTTTCTGGTCACGTGGACCGGAGGCAAGAGTAGGGCAGTTGAGAACTCTGGAATGAAAGATCCTAACACACGTGGGTCACAACATAAAAAGACCCATTGTAAGGATAGCATCTTAGAGAACGGAGAGGCCAAGCAGAGGGGAGGCTTTTCTGAGTGCTCCCTGTCATCTGTACAGAAGTGTTTATGGGTAGGCTGAGATATGCTGGCTTTCCCTCAAAATATTTTGGTCACTACCTCCATGTCATCTCCAGCACTCTCTGAAAAACCAGAGACTCTTAGGAGTGGAGGAAGGGCTAGGCTTGCCTAGGTACTGGGGCTAGTTGGGGAAGAGCCCTGGAAGACAGAAGGACTGTGGGAACTGTGACGTCTTGCTTCAAATGGCACTAGCCAAGATGGGAATGGTCACCCTGCAAAAGAGGAAGGGAAGTCTGTGTCCTGAGGGTGGGGCTGTCACTTAGCACAGGTCCCACCTGTGGGGTGAGCCCTGCATGTGGCAAATAGAACGCAGGCTGTGTGCTCCTTGCAATGAAGAACTCATGCCACCAGGGCAGCAGAAATCTGTCTTCTAAGAATTTGTCCTGAGAGACTTGTTTTGCAATGTGAGTGGCTCCCATCACTTCCCTATAATGTCACTGGGAATATATTTTTCTAAATATAAATTTTCTAAATAAAAAGAAATTGTTTTTTTTTCCAGTAACATGAGATAAAAAAAAAAGCTCTTGAAAGAAAATCTACTTGTGGTATTAAACTGGGCACATAATAGTGAAAATAGGAGTGAAGAGATGTCTCAGTCAGTGTTTGTGCATGCACACACACACACACAGACACACACACACAGAGACGCAAAGACACACACACATACACACACAGACACACCACACACATAGACACACAGACACATACCACACACACAGACAAAGACATACACACACACATGCGCTTGCACACATACACGCGCACACGCGCGTACACACACACACACACACACACACAAAACAAAGGAAATGAAAAAGCTGGAGGTGGTGTGCTTTTGTAATCCCAGCACTGGGGAGATTGGAGAGGCGGATAGGAGGGGGAAAGCATGTGGGCCAGCCATTTCAACTACTTGGCAAGTGCCAAGCCAATGACAGAACCTGTCGAACAAAATAAAAGCAAACAACTCTGCCTCCCACCCCCACCCCCCCACACCTGAGGCTGTCAAAGAGGCTCAGCAGGTGGAGATGCTTGCAGCCAAGCCTGACAACCCCAGTTCCATCCCTGGGACACACACATGGTGGGCGAGAGCCGGCTCCCAATGTTTGTTCTCTGATCTCTAAATGATGCATGTACACAAATAAATAGACGTTATAAAAATTTTAAGCCAGAGAACAAAAACAAGATAGATAATTTCTAATAAAGGCAGATGGGCCTCTGACTCTACACAGCACATACATGCACCAAAACCAACAATAGCCATGCACAGTTAGACAAAGGCAGTAAAAACGGTGAATTTATGTGTTAGGCATTTTAGCACCACTAAATATGTAAAAGGGATTGGCTCTGCTGAGTGGTGCAATATGTCAGAAATTACACCACGGAAGAAAATGTATGACTGTGGGAAAATAGGCAAAGAGCCAGATCCGCTAGATCTGAAGCCAGCATTCAGCTGAACTGGCTCTGGCGCTTACTTGTTTGTTTTTGAGACAGGGTCTCATGTATTCCAGGGTGACCTCAGAGTGCTATGTTGCTGGAGATGACTTTGAACTCCTGAACCTCCTGCCTCCATCTCCCTGTTGCAATCACAGATATGTGCCACCGTGCCCTGCATTGGGTGCATTGTTTAAAAGTGGGAGTGTCAGGCTAGACTGGAAGGAAGAGTACTACAGCTAAAAGTTGTGCTCAGGAAAGCTTTGCTATTGGACTCAGGATGGCTCAGTCGGTACTCTAGTTCCAATTCCTAGCACTCATGGAAAAGCTCAGTATGGTGGTACACATCTGGGTGGTACGTATCTGAATCTGGAGATTCAGATACAAGAGCTCACTGGCGAGGCAGGTAGCCAATCAGTGATCCCCAGGCTCAGTAAGTGATGTCTCCAAAAGTAAGGTAGGAACAGATGAAGGAATACAGTAGATACTGATACTGTCCTGTAGCCTCCACACTGACATGTCATGTACATGCATGTGCATAGACACCATGCACAGACATACACACACACACACACACACACACACACACACAGAGAGAGAGAGAGAGAGAGAGAGAAACAGAGAAACAGAGAAACAGAGAAACAGAGAAACAGAGAAACAGAGAAACAGAGAAACAGAGAAACAGAAAAGAGAAAATTTCAGGTCAGGGGCTGGAGAGATGGCTCTGTGGTTAAAGGAACTAGCAGCTCTTCCAAAGGACCCTGGCTCCCAGAACCCACAGGGCAGCTAACAGCTGTCTGTAACTCAAGTCCCAGGGGATCTAAAGCTTTCCAGCCTCCATCAGTATAGTATACATTGTGTACAGACATACATGCAGGCAAAAACCCATACACATAAAAATTAAACAAATTTCAACATCAGGCTATTAGCATTCACCTTTTGCAAATGGGGAAACTGAGGCTAAGAGGTGGAGCAGGGCTTCAAGGCTTGGAATCTTCTCCTGTCTGACCGTCCCAGGCTGATGTCTAGTCCGGGATGAGCACATTCTGGGGGGTTGCCTTTCCCCCTCCGTGTAGTCTTATGGAGTAAACTAGTGAGTGGCATTGCAAGAGGCACTGACAATGCTGTGGCCTGTGGTGTCTGTTGCAGGCTGTTGATGGAGAAGTGGGCGGATGACAGCCGGGACTGTGGTCATCACTGGGGGCATCTTGGCAACTGTGATTCTGCTCTGTATCATCGCTGTTCTGTGCTACTGTCGGCTTCAGGTACTCCCAAGGGTTGGGGAAGGGGACTGGGTTGGAGTGGAGCCTGAAGGGTGGCTTCTGAGAGGGAGCCATCTGACCAGGGTCCAGGATAGAGTGCAGGAGGGTACAGCCAGACTTCAGGGGAGACGTTCTGCAATGGGGTTGGAGTACGTCTGTGCTGTTCAGTGGCCCGCTGTCCAACTCACTGAAGGCTTTGGCTGAGACTCAGAGAGTGCCAAGGACTTAGCCAGTGACACACAGCCCTCCAGGATGGCAGCAATGAACAGTGTGTTGTCTTGCTTCCCCACCAGAGCTGTAGAGGTTCTCCTATGTCGTCCCAAGAGGAGGGAGAACCCACATGCAAGGCACACCTAATGCCTGTGACTCAACTCTAGGATATGAAATGGCTTACGAGCTCTGCCCACTTTCAGATTTCTCACCCATCTTTGCCTCAGTTTTTCTGCCTGCAAATGGGAAGTTAGAGCTACCTCCAGCTGTGAGGGTAAGATAGATAAGTGACACATTGCAGGGATCTCAGCTCCGAGTGGGCAGGGGTAGACGATAGGGGGTAGTGGAGCAGGTGGAAGTGAATGAGAAGGGCCACCTTCAAACGGATGCTGGTGCGAAGTGCACTGTGGTCACCTGGTCCTCTGCCCACAGTATTACTGCTGCAAGAAGGACGAATCCGAGGAGGACGAGGAGGAACCCGACTTTGCTGTGCACTCCCACCTGCCACCCCTCCATTCCAACCGCAACCTCGTGTTGACCAACGGGCCTGCTCTCTACCCAGCTGCCCCCACCTCTTTCAGCCAAAAGTCCCCGCAGGCCCGTGCCCTCTGCCGCAGCTGCTCCCACTACGAGCCGCCCACCTTCTTCCTGCAGGAGCCAGAGGACGACGACTTTGAGGGTGTGCGCAACGGCGGGGGCCGTGTGGCCTACAAAAGCATCAGCCAGGAAGATGTGGAGCTGCCGTCTGCGAGCTTCGGAGGCCTCCAGGCGCTCAACCCCAACCGCCTCTCTGCCATGCGAGAGGCCTTTTCCCGAAGCCGGAGTGTAAGCACTGATGTGTGACAGGCCTCTATCTTGCTGAGGCTACCGTCCCTGGGTCCTGAGATCATGACAGGATACCCACAGCACACCCTGGCCCCATCTCCAGACCTCTGCTCAGCCAGTCTTCCCTGTGTCCTTGTCCTAGGGGCTCCAGGAATGGGTAACTCCTGGGCCACCTACAAGGATCAAGCCCAGTGAAGCAGATGTGGCAGCTGTGAGTGGTGGCAGCTGTGAGTGGGGACACCTGGCACAAGAAGGGAGGCAGGGGACAGGAGGGTAAGGCAAGGCTGTGTTGGGGCCCAGGAGCCAGGTCCTTTCTCCAGGAAGTGAGAAGATGGATAATGCCAACCCTAGCAACTTGTCTGTCTCTGGCTTCATGGTCTTCCCTGTCAGTTTCTCGCCAGGCCTTGGGCTTCCTACCTACAGTGGCCTCACTCGTTGCCAGTGGCCCTACAAGCATGAACCTTCTTTAGAGACTGTGGACCAAATAAATATTCTGTCCTTTCACCCTGACTCCCCTTTCCCATCTTTCTCTCCACCCTCTCTTCATTCCTTCTCCTCGCTTCTGTCTCATGCTCCTGAACCTAGATACCAAACATCTACCCCAAGCTTGAAATGCCCATTGTCCTGGCCTCCCTCAAGATGGACAAGTCTCCCTGTAAACAGGAGAGTTTAAGAGTCATCAGTGTACTTGGACACTTGCTCTGTCCAGTTCTGCTTTTGCTGAGAAAAAAGGCATAGGCATAGAGGGCCCTGCTCTGGGAGGGGGACACTAAAATGTACACATCCAGCACTTAGCCCTAAACCCAGACAAGTGACAGACACATCCAGATAGGTTGCAGAAACACTGGAGGTGGCCCAGCTGTGCACAGAGGCCTCAGATGTCAACTTGCTGTGACTCTTAGGCGGGCCATCCCATTCACGGGCTTACCTCCCTCCCCATGCATGTACTTTTGAACTCTGGTCCTCAGTGGGTCCTGAGGTCCTCAGGGGAAGCTGAGCTATATTTAACAGGATCTTCCTGTTTTCTGCTCAGAATGAGGCACCCTGGGCCCAGCCAGCCAGAGCTTGCTGCCCCTTATGAAAGTCCTGTCTTTACCTATGCTGCTCCAAGCCCTCAACTGTCTGAGAAATCCACGTCAGGTGACCAAGATGCTCCAAACCCAAGGCCCTAGCCATCAGGAGTGCAGCTCTCCTGCTCCGAAAAGAGACACCATTCTTGGCAGCACAGCCTCAACTTCCTTTCCCCTTGGGCCATTTTTCATCCCCAGGCCCTGCCATGGAGCTCCAGACAGGAACAAGTGTCCCTGTGAAGGTGCCTTCCTGTAGGACAGTGGCCACCCCTGAGCCAGATACCACAGCAGAGACCTCCACACTTATTACAGGCAGCTATACCACGCTAGTGAGGATCTGCTGTCTTTGGCATTCTGAATACCTTCTCCTTCTCTTTTTCCTGCCTCAGTTTGGTCTTGCTAACAGAATCCACCCTTAGAAACATAGACATCTCAGCCTACTTCTTTCCCTTCTACTTCCTTTGTCCCATTCCATCCTGTGGCATCTGTCCTTTGCATTGCTTGGGGTATGGGCAAGGTAGGGAGGGGTGCTCCGGGCTGTTCTGTCTTTGCCTCCTTTCCCTCCTTCTTTTTTTACCCCCACCATCTCTGTATAGATCCATAGACATCTTCAGAGTGAATTAAGTATCTTCCCACCCACCTAACACCACCACGGGACCTGCCAGGGACCCACACAGCACCCTGAAAACAGCAAAAGCCAATAAATTTGTTTCCCACAGCATAGTGCATGGCTGCTTGTCTGTCCATCCACTGGGCACCTTCAGGCACAGACCCTCCCTGGAAGCAGATGGAGTCCACCTTCCCAGCCCAAGCTGCTGAGCTCTATCAGGAGCTGGGCACAGTTCTCAGGCAAAGGGGGCATCATAACAAGCCACCTTTGTCTTCCAGCTACCTAAGGCTTTTATGACTGTTGTTAACCAATTAGAAAAATGGGTTAAACATGATAGGCTGTGTTTCTTGGGGACAAGTGGCTGACTGTCCCTGAGCTTACGTCAGCACAGTTGTGCACTGATGATACCCACCTCAGAAGATGAAACCAGCCATTGCATGCTTGACACAGAGCCCAGCATAAGAGCTGCACAGCAAAGGCCAACAGGAAGGAGTGTGAGATGAAGTAGAGAGGGAGGAAATCAGGAAGGGAAGGAGCATGGAGAGGTAGTGGTGGGACTCAGGTGTGGCTAAGACCTCAGCCCCTGAGACACATGGACACTGCTCTGTCTGAGCCCAGCTGGTGACCTGAAGTACAACCATCTCCCAAACCACTAACTCCTGGATTTGGGCAGCTAAAATAAATTCTCAAGGAACAGCCGTCCTGATTCAGTCCTTGTGGTATAGGCATACACAGAAGCAACAATGCACTGGGCTCTGTTGCTGCCTCAGTTTCCCCCCAAAGCACTAAGCCCTTTAGGAACAAAGCTCTTTGGCAGACTTGTCCTGGGAAGTCTGACCACAAAGCAGAGGAGACAGCCACCAGTCTCCCTACTACCTAGGACCTCCAGGGTACTGAGACTGACTAATCCTGGTCATATTAGATTCAGCCCTGTCCTCCCTGCCTCCCTGGGGGCTCTGTGTGTGTGTGTGTGTGTGTGTGTGTGTGTGTGTGTGTGTGTCTGTGTCTGTGTCTCTGTGTGTACACGTATGTGTGCTGTTTTCTTTTCCATTCTCTTTCACTTAGGAAAATCCAGTCTGAAGAGCCCCTGGTATCTCAGCACCCACTAGAACCATCCTGATGTGGGAAGCTGTGCACACAGCCCTGAGGATGGTCCTGGAGAGTAGATGGCCATACATGAAAGCTGAGCCTACAACTGCAGGCACTCTTGGAAGCCCCATCCTCCCATCCTGTATCCTGTAGTGCCATCTGCTCCCCCAGCATTCCTGTAGCCCTGCGTTCCATCCTCACAATGAGCCCCAGATACAGAAGAGCTAAAAAAAAAAAAATGGCGGGAGATTCATGCCAATTTCTACCTCAACATTGTCCTGCTGCCCATAGAGCCTCTCCTTGTACATCCCTGCTCCTCTGGTTGCCTTTATCTGCTTTTTGTACCTGACTGCCCTGTTCCTACTCATCTGTACACCTGCTGTCCAGCAAAAACACCAACACATTTTTTCCCCAAAGTAATGGAAACCCTAGCTTGCTGCCATAAATATAGCCACTTTATTAACATGCACCAGTAAGTAGTGAGGAGGCTGGCAGGGACACCCAGGAACATGGGCCATCCCTCCCACCTACACAGGAACTCTGGGAGGGGACAGTGGCACTAATGCCATAGGAAGGGGTACCTTCAGTACTTCCAGAAACAGGGCAGCCTGGGCTCCTCAGCTGACCCAAGGCCCCTCCTTACCCAAGACAGCCAAAGAAAGGAGACTCTCTCCTTCCTATGTCACCTGCGAGTCACCTTGAGAGGGTTCTGTCACATCAGAGTTGGGTCTGGAAAATGGGCAGCTACTGCCTACTCTGGTTTCTGGACTCTGAGCCCTCTGTTATGGGCACAGACACAGGATCCTGGAGTGCATGTACAACTTCCTGCAGCAGAGTGGCTCCATCTGAGAAGGGGCCTGAGGGCACTGGAGGATCTCACCCAGGGCAGAGACAAGGCCACAATATCAAAGTCCATTCTTGTCAGTCGTGCTCTATGTCACATCTTCACAGTCCAGAATCCCCTGCAGGGTGGGTGTCCAAGGAGAGCCCCAGGATGGCGTGCTTATGTCTCAGGGGCGACGGCCACAGCTAGGAATGGGGAGGCCTACAGGAGCGACAGCAGGCTTTGCTGTAGTACCAATGGCCACAGAGGTTCACTTTGATGGCCAGTGCGCAGTTGGTGCCCGGCTGGTCCTGGCAGCTATCATCTGGAGATGAGATACAATACAAAAGAGAAGGGTGAATGCCAGAAGAGCAAAGGAGAACAGCTCCCAGGGTCCCCAACTCCTGCCATATTGTCTCACAAAGATGGGAGCTCACTAAGGGCAGCCCAGCTGTCCCACTATGAACTGCTCAACAGAAAGGCCCCTCAGTTTTGGTCCAGAGGATCCCAGCTACTACAGATCTCAGCTATCCCTATCCTAATCTAAGCCCCTCTTGAGGAAAATATGGATCCCAGTAAGAGATTTGATCTGATCACCTAGCAAAACCCTGGGATTTGGAAGAGTCCCTAATCCCTTCTGAAAAGTCCAAACACCTCCAGGGCCTGTGGGTTCCTATCCCCTTTCCTCAGTATTCCCAGAGTAGAATTCACCTTCCCCTACATTTGGCATCAACTTTGAAGAGTGGACTTTGTCGGTCTTTCCAGTTACCCAAGTCAGAGATCATGCCTGAGACGTCCCTGCCTCCTGGATTCAAGACCTGCTGCTCAGACAAGGCCGTCTTGGTCCCTGGTCCCACAGCTTCCCCAACCACATTTTAGGTCAGTGCCTTTTCCAGTACACAGGTCTCCATGTAGGTTCCCTGAGCCCCAGCTAGGCTATCCCCCTCAGAGAAGATCTTTCCTGTAGACACACGTATGTGTCTCTCTAGATGCTTCCATGACTGATGTCTGTTGTCCTCTAGAACCTGACTCTAACCACAACTCCTCTAGACACCCCATGCCCGGTGCCAAGCCTCTCACCTGGGGGCTCTGTGGGACATGGCTGCAAGTCACAAGCCTGTCTGCCAACAGGCTTCACCAGGGGGTCACATCCACGGACAATGTCAGTTCCCTGGTAACACTTCACGTCCCGCATCCGCATACCTACTCCACATGTCTTGGTGCACTGGTGTGGGACAGACAGACAGGTGCATAATGAGGCTCCCCATTGTGACAGAGACAGGGAACCTCATCACCCAGGACCTGTCCTTTGCACCATAACCATCCCATAGGCTGGCCAGGACACAGCAGTTCCTTGGAACCTAGAGCCTGAGCCAGACTAAGTAGAGATAGCAGGAGGAAAGGCACCTTCTGGCTGCTCTGCCTCAGTTTTCCCAGCCTCACAGTGAGAGGGTGGCCCCTCCTGTGCCGACTATGACCTGCTGAGTGCTCAGGTTCCATCTGTCTCAGATTAGTGACACAGAGTGTTTGCCATGAACCAATCAATGCAACATCCAGAGCCATCACTCTGAGTCCAGATGTTCCCCCTCAGAAAGCCTGCTGAGCTACCCAGAATACCAGGGACATCTGCTGACCCCAATTACCCTGCTATCCCCCTGCCAAGATACTGCAGGCAATGGTTCCCTGATGTGGTGACCCTGTATCACCTAGGCATGCCTGGACCTGAGGTCTGGGGAGGCCCCTGCCCCAGGCTCATCCCTTGTTTGGTTTCCAGACACAGAGGAGCTGATGAAGGCTGACATGAGACCACTTGCCTGCTCACCCTCCCTGAGAAGAGGCGAGGCTGGCTTGGCACAGGCAGAGAGGATACTTTGCCTTTGCAGTTGCCCTAAAGATAAGTAGGCTCCTGGC